AAAATAGAGAAAAGAGAAAATAGAATAAAATATAAAAATAAAGTTAGGGGGTGTAAAATGGGAAAAATGGTTTAGAAGTAAATACAATTTTGTTTTATACTAGGCCCAATGTATATTTTTGTAATCAGAAAAACAAAATAAAAATGTAATGAAATGGGCTGCATGGTTGAAAAGAAAATGGGGGTCAGATGGAGTAAAAATGCAAAAGGCTCAGTAGGGAGGCCCAAGCGCTGGTTGTTTGTAACAAAACAAAAAGAAGAAAAAAGATATGAAAAAAATGACAAAACAGACGTCGGGGCTCGAACACAGGTCCTAAAGGTGAAAGGCGTGCGCTTCTACCACTGGGTGGCTATACATCTGTTTATTAATACAAAACCATAAATATATACTACCAACTCAATCCTGAATGTGTCGTCTTCTTCTTCCTCGCGCCATCTTCCATGGACAAGATTTTTGAATATATAATTTCTTCATTTCTCAACCATTTGCAAAAGTATAAACATAAAACTTGCTCCATTTTTTTACCACGATTCCAACCATATAAATTTCATAAACTATAAATCAAAGATGAGTGAGAATTTTGTTTGCCCCCAAAATAAAACCTAACTTTTCTAGATTTTCAGTTCTAATATTCTCAACACATGGTTAATCAAAATGAAAATTAAGCATATGGTTAGCTTTAGGGTAATGATATTTAGATTTTATCTTCATAACTGGACCAATAATGATGCGTGTCTGAAGAGTTCGAAGTCAAGAAAACTTACCTTGAAACTAAAATTCGTGTTTTGATTTAGAGTACCTTTCAAGGTGTTGTGATGATCAAAATAGCTTCAGTGAACCTCCAGGAAGCTAGTACAGTGATTAGTTTGGATTAAAGATGGTTGAATCGTGCTGGAGAAGTCAATGTGTAGCACCCTGTTTTTGGTTATGGAGGATGAAGAATATGGTGTTACAGTTGGAAAACAAGGATTGGGATAGCCTCTATATGTGTATTAGAAGCTTTGTGAATGGTTTTGCCAAGAAACGCATGAGTGGATTTTAAGATGAGTGTGTAAAGTCAGAAATTACACAAAAATGGAGGTTTTGTGCAACTTCTGGATTGAGGGGGTTTTGTGCAACTTCTAAAAGCGAAAGCCTATACTTGATTGTCTTGTACGTCGAATCAATCATAAGGACGGTTGAAAATTTGTTGAACAACTTGATACTTTCTGGATGAACCAAAGAATACTGACGTTGTTCTCACAAAATCTGTACCTAGAAACGTAGTGGTTATCATCCAAAAGTTTCAAAAGATGTTGCATTTTGTACCTCGGACCTCTTTGTTTAATGTTTTGTTTATAACGATAATTATAACCGACTTAATATTTATAACACTTTCTGGTCTTTTCCGTTTCAAACTAGAAAGTATGTTTCTCGACACAACTTTGATTAACGACAATTCTGAAATAGATTCTTTCTCTTTCGACTTAAGCCGACTTACAATTGGATGCCCTTATAACTTGGTGTCCAACATATAATTATGCATACCATAAATGACACTAAACCGCCACAAATCATCCACCCTACAAGAACCGCAAAATTTAAACGAATACTCACATTTCCTTGATCCCGTGTCATCATATTTTAACTTCCGAAGTTTTGGAATATATTTCCCACTTCTCTTGCATGTCATCACAACAAATGGTTTCCTTCTACTAGTTCCATTGTCAGACCTTCCAATCACAACGTCAAACCCAAGTTTATTAGCTTCGATTCAAACCCATTCAAGCATATGTTGATGAGAGGTGGAAATTTTATCATTTGTAAATTATTGTCCAATATCTATCACGATAACAATCGTTTTATCAACGTTCTTCACCTTATCCAGCTTAGCATCTTCATTGACCTTGTGTAGAACCTTTAGGAAAACTTTGGGAATATTGTCGGGGTACACCATACCTAACACGGATAAAAAAACATAAATTATGTTAAAACAGTTTTCTGTTTTTGTAACAGACATGTTTTTGAATATGCACATCTGGATTATGGTAGGTGGAATTCAGATATGCATATCCGAAGTGACGCTATTTTTTTCATCTACAAATCACCATCAATACAAGGAATGTAAGATGAAATGAGGAAAGTTTACCTCAAATTGCAGTTTTGTATGTTATCTTTGTCATGCTCAAACACTTGAAACTTAGTTTGGAGATGAAAAATTGATTGAGAATGATTAAAGTTTTGTTGAGGGTTTTGGTTATGGGGGGAAAGAAAATGAATGAAATGGTTGGAATGGATGACCATGCGACAATATAATATGGCAAGGGTAGTTTCGGATATGAATATCCGAAACTATCTTTAGAATTTTAAATCCAATGTTTAAGTATTAAAATGTGGAAAAAGGTGTCTTCGGTTGTGCATATCTGAAATATGTTGAAAGGTGCATTCATATATGCACATCCGAAAAGTATTTTCGAATTTTCATAAACATAACTTAGCATACCCAAGTGGAGAAAAAAATTCCCATGCTCCTAATCTTGATTTTGGATTGCCTCTATAGCATGTTTTGCTTAAGTATCATAACTTTCTCTATTTTCTTGTTTCCACATGGGGAACAAAGGCTATCTCTGACCCTTTCTGAATCTTCTTCATCAACATCAATATCAACTTGAGTCACTAAGTTCGACATTTGAGTGAAAATAAGATGACTTGTCCAACTCCACCAGCTCCTAAATTTGGTTGCGCAAAGGACCTGGAGCATCATCAACGATATTTACCTTGAAGGATATTCCTTTAATCCAAGCTGCGATATCTTCTGAAACATTATTTCGCTGCTTAGTTATGATTAAAAACTATGTTACATCCATTTTAGTACTTGTCACAGTAATATCATATGCGCATATGAATTCTCTCATGGGAAAGACTAGAGCTTCAAAGAACTTTGGACTCCATGCTTGACATGGAATCCATAATATCTAAAGGTCACTGTAGCACCATCCACATCCTCAGGTTTTCAAGGACGAACTTCATGAAACCATTTACTTAACCACTCATTCCCATTAATCACCAACTCATGTAACTCTCCTTCGACTCTATCCTCCAAAAGATTATCATTTGCACCAAATCGAGTCACCTAAATAGAAAAGTGACATTCAAAGTTGAAAAGCTCTTGCATATTATAAGAAAACCCTGGTTTTTCTACAAATCCAACAAACGATTTCTTGAACCTTAAAAGGTCAAAGTTTGCCGTATTAAGGCGTCTTCAAAATATTTTCAAACACAAAGCACAAAAGCATCTTCAAAAATGAGCAAACCTTTAAGAGCCCATGGAAAACCACGGATGAAAAGGGTGTTAACACCTTCCCTTTCCATAATCTACCCCCCTTACTCAGAAAACTCTCGAAAAGGTCTTTTTCTGTTCTTTTCACCCTTTCCTTTGTTGGATAAAACAAAAGACGGTAGCGAATCTTTCTTACCGCAACATTTGCAAACACAAACGCAAAAACCAGTATTAACAGTCGATTCTGCCACTGTATCACAGAACTAGCGACTCTGCTGGGGAATTTGGAGCAGTAATTAGAGATTTTTGCTCTACCGGGGATGTGAAAACAACTGACATCATCAAGCTGCATGCTGAGAATACGACAGTGACCCTTTTTAGGATGTTCATGAGCTCTAAATACATCGACATAGGATCTTTCTCCCCTATTGGTTGAGGTCCCATGGCGCAAATAAACTAAGTTAGCCTTCTTCAAGATATTATCTTGCACTCTATTGAGTTTCAGATTCACCTTACGAACCTGATCACCCCTTCTCTGAAACCTTGGTAGATTGGAAAAGATCTTTTCTCTACTAATGAATATATTTCCCAACTTAATCGCCAAGAGTCTATCATCTTCCTCGTTAAAAATCTCACAAACCTATAACGGTTCCCTCTAATGTCGTGCTTGGAAGGAATGATGACTTCATCTATATCGCTATAATCTCTGAACACCTCATACATTTCTTTAACTCTATAATCGTCCAGAAACATTGTGAAGAAGAAAGTTGATATTTTCCTGCCCACTTCATATTTATACGTTTCATCCATTAACTGTTTCCTTCCCACCTTGTCCCAACGGTTTTTGAACGGAATAGTCATGCGCCTTCTGGATGAAAGTTGCTTCCGTTAAAGAACTTCTTCATGCTTTTTAAACGTAACTGTAGTAGCCATGCTGATATTTCTAAGAAAAACACTAGTTAGAGAGAAGATGAGTTTCTCTCTTTTGATTTCACATGCTCTAAAAATCTAAATACTTATAGTTGAAAATTAGAAAATTGATTTATAAAGTATTTATTAAAAAAACCAAAAAAAAAAATTCCATGGTAATAATTTTTTAAACAATAAATTAATATATTAATCATACGTATTTAATTAATTTATATTGACAAGAAATATATTAAATTATTTGGTTAGATTTATTGAAAAGATGAAATAAAAAGACAAAAAATATAAATATATAAATGTAATTTAAAAAGATAAGACTAACAATTTTGAAAAAAAGGGAATGAATATTTTGGATAGTGATATATATATATATATATATATATATATATATATATATATATATATATATATATATATATATATATATATATATATATATATATATATATATATATATATATATATATATATATATATATATATATATATATATATATATATATATATATATATATATATATATATATATATATATATATATATGTATATATATATATATATATATATGTATATATATATATATATATGTATATATATATATATATGTATATATATATATATATGTATATATATATATTGGTCAAATTTTTTTTGGGTGTTACTTTTCATCTCATAAATTTATCTCCAAAACTTTGAATATTTTTTATTTTTTAAGAATAAGTCAAAATATTAATAAAAAATAGTCTCAAATCCTTTACGATCGCACTATTTAAAGAGGTAGAATAACAAGGAAAAACAAGATAAACTAGTGAAGATGAGTAACAAAGAAGAGCTTCCCTGTGACATTGAGAGAAGCCAAGTGCTTCCCCAATTCATGACACAACAGTTGAAACATCAAACACCATATACTAATACCACCATAGATCAAAACAATACAAAGTCATCTAATGTCGGTAACCTCCCCATGGGGCAGCCTCTTAACTCCATGAACAAGTCTAATAGGCCTATCGTCGTAACACATGTCATTCCTAATGACATTTGTTATCACGTGTTTGAGATCGCTGCTGAAGCAGACGTCTCAAAAAGCCTCTTTGATTATGTTCGTCGTCGAGGGAGAGGCTTAAGCATCCTTAGTGGGAATGGGGAGGTGGCTCAAGTGACACTTCAGCAATCAACAGGAGAAATTGTAACCCTTCGTGGAAGGTTCCAGATTAATTCGATATCTGGAATAATTTCCCAGACGCCCACACAGGCAAAGGTGGAAGGTTTGATTGTTAAATTATCTGATACTAATGGACAATTGGTTGGGGGAAATGTAATCCCCCCTTTGGTGGCTTTCAGTCCCGTATTTTTGGTCTCTTATTCTTTTGCAAATATTGTATTTGAAAAAGAGACTTTTGTGGCTTATGGCAGGGATAATCAAGAAGTGGCGTGCCTCGATGAACCTGAACATGCGGCCAAAATTGGTGGTAACTAGCTTGTTAAAATTGTGAGGATGAGAAACTGGGACGAGGAGCAACAACGTCAAGTATCATTCATCATCTTATTTGGGTCGCATGTTTGGGAAATATATGACTGCAAGCGCAACTTCACCACCAAAATATCTTCGATTCTAGCTAGATAGACATGTTATTTGCATATTTATGTTCAATTAGGACATATAATTAATAATATTATGCATAACTTCAGTTTGATTTTAATTCATTCTGATATATCTAGGTGAATAACTTGGTGGATGGAATAAAATTTATATATTGATATTTGTCATGATGGTTTATGCTTACTCTTTTTCATTTGTTTCGTTACGACTCTCTCATACAATACAACAATAACAACAATCAAATGTTGTCCTACTAAGTGGGGTCGATTACATATAACAACTTTTTCCATAATGTTCTATCAAGGACCATGCTTCTTCTCTCATACAATATTATAAATATAAATAGTTTCTTCTCTGGTGATATTTGTCTTTTCTAATAGCTAAAATTTTCCATATATCATACTATAATTGTCCTAAAATGGAGTCTATGATGAAAAATAAGTTGGATGATTAATCGATTTTGTTGGTCTTGGGGGTAAGATAGTTGATGTATTGGTATCGATTTAGGTGTGATCAGTTGAACGAGGGTGATCAAAATTTAATTTAAGTGAAAAATAAAATTTATGAAAATTAGAGAGAAAGGTCATACAAGACTGTTTCGAGTACAACATTGAAACCCTAGTTAAAGAATACAATAAACAAGGTGACATTGCATACAAATTAGGCCAAAGAAGTGGTTGAACAACAATAAGGAAAACCACCCATAGTGTTTTAACACACAAGTTTTTGGTGGTGTACCTTTACTATTACAATTGTACTAAATCAATTATTATTTTTTACTTATTATTATTTATTTTATATGTTTCAATTTTTATCTTAACAAACTGTGTTATATTTTTGCACTAATAATATTATAATTATTGTAGTCTTTATAATAATTTATTATTTTAATATTTTTAAAAGTTATTATTTGTAAATTGGAATATGCTTTATGTATCAATCTATTGGTAAAGAGATGCACCACATCTCAAGTAGCTACTAATAACCTCGCTTATTCACTTATTCACTTAAGTAGTACATAAGAATTTTGTTAGCTAATTGTCAAGTAGATTTAATCAATATATTTAAAATTAGATCGGACCATCCGGTTCAACCGTGAATCGAACTCGTGTTCCAACTGACCCTTAAAGCCCATATACAAAAGAACCAAACATAAACTGTGAAACTAGGTTAAAAATTATAAAAGCCCGTAAAACTAGATGTTTGGCCAATTTTTGTAGGCTAGGCCGTGCTTTGATTTTGCTTGCGAAAAAATGACAAAAATCCCTTGCTTTCTTTTTCTTCTTTCTTTACTCAATTGTCAAATCATTACAAAGAAAATAAAAATATTTTCAATATCATCTTCCTTTTTGTTCAATTGATATTGAAGGTGGATTTAATTACTGGGAAGAGGAAAAGAAAAATTGCATAACATGTTACATAAGTTGAGTTGTGGCGCATTATTAAAGGAGGGGAAAATTTATTGTGAACAAAAGTGAAATTAAGTTATTAGGAGAAAATTTTACTCTGAACGCCATCATTTATCTCCCTACCCTTACAAATTATGCGTTTGGACGAAAATACCCTTGTATAAATACTTACACCTTCAAAAATTGACACTTTTCCTCATTTAGTTTTAAGGGACCGAGAGAAAAAAATCAGAGAACAAAAAAAAACTTGTCAGAACCAAAACTTAATACACAAACCGGGGAATACGAGGAAAATTTAGACGATTCAGCATACAACACACCAGATAACTTACAAGTAAGTTTTCTAGTTTTAGTGAGAAAAAATTAACAAATCGAATAACATAGGCCAGGGTTCTTTGGTTTCCATGAATTATAATCAGATAACTTCGAGCCATGTTATCTGGTTCTTGACATGGTCATTTGAATAACTTGTGAAGAGGTTATCCGGTTCATGGTTTTTTTATACATTTTTATTTATTTTTAGTGGTGCACAAAAGAGGAGGCCTGAACGACAACATTATGCGTCGAATGGGTGAAGGACGACAATGTCGAAAGGTGATGGATGTAGAGGGACATTAGAGAGTTGCACCTGATGCTGGTCCGCAGCAACCAGAGTTCCCCGGAGGACCGTATGATGCATCTGCTCTAGTGAGGTACCAGGGTCACGTTGGTCACCATTTATGGTTTGACGAGGTAAGTGAATCTCTATCATTTCATGTTGAATAATTTTTAGTTATAACTACATATATTTTATAACATATATACTATAAAAAAATTTAGGAGAGACACCCGAAGAAAGAAATAAAGGTTGATGCACATGGCAGCAAATTGATAGGATGTGTTCCACACAGTCTCCCATTGGTGATAGAGTCTTGATTGGCTAACTTTAATTTATCCTCTCTCCAGAGAACAAGTTTGTCAAGGATATATCAAAATATAGTATCTACCTTTGTAGATAAATGGCGTCCAAAACATCTTCCTTTCATATTCCATTTAGCGAGATGACCATTACATTGGATGATGTTTCTTGTCTTCTTAATAGACCTTGTAGGGGTGAGTTATTTGACCCTCCAAAAGGTTTCACTGATATGGATTCTATTAATCTTGCTATTAATATGTTTGATGTTCCCTTGGAGGAGGCAGTTGAGGAGATTCGTACTTGTAGGGGTCTGTCATACCCTGATTTTTACTCTTAAGATTCCACCTATCATAATTTTCATTTCATCAAAATTGAAATTTTGGCACACAATAAAGATGTTAGGACTGAATTCTCAACATATAAGTACAATGTCACGACAGATGTTACGACATCTGCAGATTGACATACCTTTTACCAAAATAAAACTATGCAGAATTTAAATGTAGAAGGTAAAAGAACACAACGAACTGTTAGCCCAGCTCGGAACAACTCACCTACTTTGGGGCTACCAAGCCAGGAAGGAAATCTACTATCAGTAGTATCAATTTGAAGCTAAACATTCCCAGTTTACACTTCTCACTTAAATCCTACCCAATGCAATTTCTACCTAGGAACCTCCTAGAATGAGAACCCTTCTCACTCCCAATCACCGCAATGATAAAAGACCTGCCCCAATCCTAGTGACGGGGCATAATCCAGTTACAATCACAGTGGCTCGAAACCAAACTAAAACCGAAGTTTACACTTCAACCATAATACTCAAACTCTTGCTTAAAAGCTTTAGAGTAAGAACAATAACTTGATAAACCGTCAAGTAACAATTAGTCAACTCAAATGCATCAAGAGATGCATGAGGACGTACAAATAAAACACGAAACTCCTTTGAAGAACCCTCAAACTCTAAGAATAAGAAAAGTAGGCTTACCCTTATTTTTACAAAGTTCTTAATGAAATTAGGTCTAGGTAGATTCTTTTAATACTCCTCAATAATCCATGGGCCTTTAATATTCGCCCAAATATTTCTTGTTGCACACGTTGAAGGCTGCACTAATTTATGCAGAAAGATCTCCTTAAATCTTGGAATAAAACACAAGTTTTCCTAAATTATCTCAAAGCCTAATTTTGGCAACCTGTGTATAGCTGAAGTTAAATCAGTGATATAAAATCAAAAGAAATTCCACGTAATCAATTTAAATATGTTAATAAAAACTACAACTTGTATTGATGTTCTGATACAGGATGTTACAACATTTGTCAGAATATCTGCCTTCAAATCAACCCGATCAGCATGTTAGAACATCTTCCATAACATCATGATGTAAACCATGTTTTAGCAAAATTATGCCAATCATAAAACCATGGTAATAACAATCTCCCCCTTAGGAAAGTTTTTGCTAAAACAACCAAAAACCAATTAAAATAGAGAGAGGAATAAAACCATAAACAAAATGCATAAAAATAAAACATCAAAGTTACAAAAACTACACAACAAACATACATGTTAGCACTCCCCCTGTAACACATAATGAGTTCTTCCTCTCAACAAAAACCCCACACCAGAAAATAAATCCAAAGGATTCTCAACATACACTAGACAAGATGTTGGAACATCTGTTATGAAATCCTCATCCTGCACAAACTTGACTTGCTACATTAGTAGCAACAACTAAAGCACAAAAGCAGGCATGAATGACATGTTCCCCCTAAATAGTTGCATGAGAAAACACAAACAACTACTCTCCTAAAAGCAGTAACACATAGTACTATCACAATGTTAAGGATATAACATTAGGACACACACTAAACAGAACACTTTACTCCCCTTTTTTAGCCTAAATATTGACAAAATAGAGTATGTAAACAATGGAAGCACAAAAGACATGAGAACATATTGCACTTAGGAAATAAAAAACATTGAAGCACAAATGGAAACAAAACTAAACACAGATGGAAATAAACAAATGAATAAGCACTAGGTGGAAGCACACATTGTTCAAGGATTACATCATAACAACATAGAGTACCTTACAAAATAAATGAGTCATAAGCCCTTAAACAATACATCACAAGAAACAGATTATAACAAAAGATAGAAGAGCCAACCACCAAGGGATCCTTAGACTTCAACAACTTCTCTTTCTTTCTTCTCATGACCTCCTTCAACCTCATCATCCTATTCTTGATCATCATCACTTTTATTAGCAAGATTTGCTTGTCTATCCTCTTCAGTCAGGGCCTCAATCAAACTTTTAAGCTTTACCTTCCTTGCAGTGCTGGCTTTAATAAACTCATCTAATCCTTTACAAGTAGTTTTTAAATCATCTATTATGCTGGCCTTTGATGTAAAGACAACACTTACTTTTCCAGATGTCATAACAATGTCAAAAACATGTGTTTCTTCAAACATATTGTAATGTAAAGTCATAGGAGAATCTATTTTTCACACCTCATCTGAATCAATTAAGATTCCTGGATGCTGAGCAAGGATGATTCCATAAATCAGAGAAGGAAAAACAATTTCATTTTTACTGAACAAGAAGTATCTTGCTTCATGATTTTCTCAAAGATACAATTTCCAAAATCATACTCGATGTTAGTCCCAATAATGTAGATGAACCTTCCCAGACCAGTAGCAATATAAGAAGTATGGTTAGTAGGCACCCAATTGGCAGTTCCAATCTTGTGAAGTATAACATATTTCACACTTGGGGAGTGTAACACCCTTCTACACCCAAGGAATATTCATGAATAATTTAATAATTAAATCAGAGTAAAACACCACTTAGGATGTCACATGCTTTATAAAAACATCTTAATCAAACATCTTGCTCGGTAGCACGAGTTTTCAAAATTAAAACAATTATTTCTTTAATAACATCAACACATTACTTCAAACTTCGCAGCAAAATCATTGTCCCAATATAGTTTCATTATAATCCTTCAAATAAAACATCATCATACTTCATCATTCATAATGTATGATTTAAAACGACTTAGACAACTAAAAATAACTTATACGTCATGTCAACAAAAGGAACATAAAGTTCAATTTAAACGTTTCCCAAAACCTCGAATGTTACATATTAGATAAAAAATCATTTTTATTCTACGGAAGACACAATAAATAACTCCAAGGCTATCCTCACGCTTCTACAAGATATTCGCGATCACGTGCGCGTTACCCACGCAGAGAAAACATTCAAACATAAAGGGTGAGTAATCACAATTCATTACAAAATATATAAGGAAAAGATATAGTAGCTACAAACAACATCATCATGAAATCCGTACATCATCGTTTACCAAGTATTATATTCACACCTTCATATCATAATAATATGAATATAGATTCCTCATAATATCATAGAAGCATCCTTTGATTTACAACAAGGAAAAAAACTACTATCAACATTCATCATCAAAACATCATTTAATTTATAACACCCTTTTCCAAACATCATATTAACAACAATGCAACGAGATCGACTCATAGACTCAATGCATATGGTACCAATATCGCTCTCGTATCCATTCCATCTAGAACCAGAGCTGTCATACCCCATTTTTACCCCCTAATATGTTTATTCATAACACCATATGCATTTACATCATAAACCATTCATTCATATGGGCTTCTAAAGCATGGGATCAAAGGGCTCTTAGTATCAGTCTTTTCCCCATGGATTGAGGTTGATTCAACTGGTTCATTTATCACTCTTGGATTATGGAACTAGGGTTTTGGATCACAGACAACATGGACATCTTCATCGACAAGATTCCTTAAGATACAAGTCATCTTCATTAATATTCTTCAAAGATCAAAAGCATCAAGGGTATTAACTTGTTATGCTTAAGGTGTCATCATGCGTCAATTGAGAATGTTTTAAGTTAGGGTTTTAGTCCTCTTCAAGATCTCAAATAACCTCTTCAGTAATGTGCTTTCGAAGTAAGAGTATTGAATTTTCTCGTCCATGATGCTCAAGCTTGGTAAGGCTTCTAAAGTGGAAGTTCATTACACTAGGGTTTTGATTCCCCTTAACATCTTAAGCTAATTATTTCATCATTGAGCACCCAAAGAAAAAGGGTTAGGGTGTACATGTCATAATGTTAGGGTTTTGTTAATTCATCAACTTAGGTGTTCTGCTATGCTTTAAGTTTTATCATTTTCAAGGTTTTCCTCAAGGTACTTGTTTTAAGATCTTTGGTTATCAAGTTAAGATGTCTTTGTGCATTGAATTTCAAAGCATAAATCATGTCACAAGAGATGATGTTATGGGCTCATATTGAGATTAAGGCATCGTTATTACTTGTTACTTTGATTCCAAGTAAGTTTGGATTTTGAGAATTGGGTAGTGGGTTCATTAAAGATACGAGTTGAGTGAGATTGAAGTGTATTTGGTTTCAAAGACAAGCAACGTGAATTAAAGTAGTTAAAGCAGTTGATTTGTCAAAAGGATTGATTCAAATTGAAATATTTATTTGGATTGATTTAAAAACAAGTTAAAAAATATAAGACTTACCTCACTATGTGCCATATTTCAAATATCATTCATCATTATTCAATTTTATTTCACATATCCAAATTCCAACAAAAGTACTCATTCAAAGTTCACAAAGAGTTTATTACATTGTCACCAAAAAATAATTACATTATATACATCAAGAATTCAAGAAGATGTATAATGCCATTCCAAAATCACCATTACAACTTTTCCTTTTTACAAAGAAGGTTCAAAGGATTTGATTTCAAGTTAAAATAATGAAGGAAAGAATACATTTAAATCATCATTTGAAGAGGAACAATTAAGGTTTCAAGTTTTACAAGACATCCTGCAATACAATTTCCATTTACAACATTACCACAAGAAAAATACACTAGAAATACGTAGACACATTTTTACCACTAATTCAACCAACTCTCCAATCTTCACGCCAAAATACTTCAATATTTAAAGCT